GTGTTTGTAGACATATATATTCTACTTTATGTGATTACTAAGCAGTCCAATGGTGGTGGAAACTCAAAAGTTACTTAAACAAGAATGGAAGAACATGTTTTCCGAAGCGAGTGTCTGCTCTGGAAGCTTCTACAGTTGCATAGTGCCAAACAAACATGTGAACAGAGAACCACACTGCTTCTCTGCAGGTGTCTAATAGGGACATTACAGGGGAGGCCACTCACTGATGCAGCGTGGGCCCTCGTAGAAAGAGCAGTAATTCTCTCCGGTGGGGTGACATTTGCAAAGTCATAACAAGTTTGTATACATGAAGAAATCCAATTTGATATCCCCTCATGGCAGTGACCACTTATCCTCCCGTTTTTTTCAGCATAAGATACAAACAGTTTGGGAGAGGGCCTAAAAGGTTTAGTCCTGTCAATGCAAAGAGATAAAGCCCTGCAGATGTCAAAAGTATGCAACCTCTCTTCATCCTTATAAACATGCAGTTTAAGAAAGAAGTCTGGTAGATGTATCACCTGATTTAAACAGAATTCTGACACCACTTTTGATAGGAATTTCAGATACGGCTGTAAACCTATGTTGTCCTTATACAAAAAATTGTATATGGGGTTCATGCCAAAGCCTGAAACTCACCTGCTCTCCTAGATGATGTTATCACTATTAAGAATGCTGTTTTAGCAGATAAGTGCAAAAGGAAGCAGATGGCTAAAGACTCTAAGGGTGGTCCTATGAGTATTTACAAGAGCAAATTAAGGTTCCGAAGGGAAAGTGGAGTTTTAACCAGAGAGTAGACTAATTAGTCCTTTCAAGAATCTCCCAGCCAGAGTGAGAAATAAACAGACCAGTCTTGAATAAATGGATGAAAGGCTGAGATGGCTGCCAGATGGACTTTTAATAAGCTCAAGGACAGATATGATAGCAGGTAGTTCCAATAGGTCCTGAATCTGCAATGTGCATAGAGACAACTGGTGACAATATGGCCAGATCAAGAACCTCTTCCACTTAGCGAGGAAGGTAATTTTAGTGGAATGCTCCCTACTAATTAACACATTTCAAACCACCTAATAACAGATTCTTTGTAGCTGTTAGCCACTGAGTATGCACATTATGAGGTGGAAGCGGCATGGATTAGTGTGCAACACCTGGTTGTAATCTTGCAATATTATGTCCTGGAGGACAAATAGTGTGAATTAAGATTGGATTGACAGATTCTGCAGATCTAAAGTACCAATACTGTCTTGGCCAAGCTAAAGCTATGAGAATCATTATGGAGTATTCCATTAGCTTTCTGATTACTCTGAGAATCAGTGAGTCTAGAGGTATGCATACAGGAACTCTGTCCCTCCCACCTCCCAGGGCAGTAGGAATGGATCTGTCACGGAGCCATGGAACAAGAAGCAGCTGCACTTCTTGTGTCTGGTCACTAAGAAATCTATGGTGGGAAGTCACCATCTTTGGAACACTGGTTAGTTTTTCTGGTTTCATGATTTCCAACAAACTTTCTGCTGAGGCAAACCGGGAGGACATTCTGCACCCCTCAAAGGTCGGAGGCCTTGAGGGTGATGATGTTTTGCCTGCAGAAGTTCCACAAGTGGCTTGCCTCCAAACACAGGAGATCTGATCTTGTCCCATCCTGTTTGAGGTAAAACATTGCAGTCATATTGCCCATCATTACTTGTATGGTGAGGCCCCAGAGAGATGGAAGAAAAACTTGGTATGCATAGTAAATGGCCCTCAGTTCTATAACATTTATATGAAGAGCTGCCTCTTAAGTGGACTAGAGATCTTGATAATGCACTCCATTCAGGTTTGTCCTCCAGCCTATGGTGGATTCATCTGTTATTAATGTCTTTGATGGTAAAAGAGGAGAGTAGGGTAGCTGCTTGCAGACATTTTCCAGACTCATCCACCAGCTTAATGATGAGAGGACTTGCGCAGGCATATGAATCAGCATGTCCGCGGATGTATGCTTGAATGATATACAGACTTCAACCAGCTTTGCACATATTGCAACTGAAGTTGCATGCAAAGTCATTCACATGCAGGATGCCATGTGCCCCAGAAATCTGAGTCATGTTCCAACTTGTCAGATAAAAGCATAGTTGGTGCACAGGGAGAGAATGGAATGGACTCTTGAGACAGATAAGCAGTTGCCAAGTTAAGAAGAGATGGGTTGAGAAGGTTTTGAACAACCAGAGCTCTGCTCTCAAGGAAGTAGTCAAATCTGCTACTTAGATTAACGTGAGGACAATCTTCAGCTAGGGAATTTGTGCCTCTTCCTAGATGGATCAGGGGCTAGTCAATAATAAATAAATAATAATAATAATACATTCTTTCCTTTTGGGGGCAGGCATGTAAACATCTAAATATCTCAGGGTTGCACAAATGTCCCTAGGGGTGTGCAAGGCCTTAGACTTCCCACTGAAAAGAAAGACTGCACCCCTCAAAGGGATGTTCCTTAACTGTTTCTGCACTTCTTTACGGATGCCAGAATTTGCAGTCATGAGGTCTCTCTCATTAGTACAGCCATTGCCATGGATCATGTTGAGAGTTTGAAGAGATGTTTTGGTGACAAGCTGGCCCTGGGCTATGACAGAAGAACTCCTCCCTGGGCTCTTTGGGAAGTTTGTCAGAAAATTCTGAGGGAAATTCCAAAAAGTCATATTTAGAGAGAACCACCTTGTAATTCTCATCCATAAACTTATGTGGAGTAGCTCTTTCTTCCCAAGCAAGTTGAGCTTTTTTCGCTCTGTCTCTGGGACTGTGCTTCTGTTGTCCTCACCTGGTCCTCTCAATTGAAGTTGTTACTATCAGATGGGAGAAGAATTGTTTGAAATCCTATGCACCCTACAGCAGTCAGTCTTAAAAAAAAAAAATAATAATAATAATAATAAAGTGGGTGATATGAAGGCTGGTTCTGGACAATAATTTAGCAGAATCAAACAGCCCCTCATTTTTAGGCAGCGTCACTCTACCAGGAATAGCCTGTCAGAGGTGGTTGGTGTTCCCTCACAGCCACACACAAGACTGCTGTGAAATGACCCAACCACTGGGTCTCTCTCCAGGTGTTTCAAGCCTGCGAAGCCTGGACAAAGCCCAGCCATTGCCCCAGTGTTGGGGTCACTATACACACTTTCAGGGTGCAGACCCTATGTCTGGCATACTGTTGGGACAACTGGGCCTACAAATTTACCCTAATTGTGAGTTTAACGGTAAGTGACTGAAAGTTAATAAAATGTCACAATAACCTATAACAACAAAGGTTGATGGGAAAAGATAAGAAAGGGAGACAGACTGAATTAGTCCACACAGCAAGGTCTACTGATAGAACTCAAGGACCGTGTTAAGATCATGCCTGATAAACAAGAGATGTGAGAGATCAGAAATCAGTAAACCAAAATTAGTGTCAGAAATTAGGCCTAATTGGTGGACAAAATAATAAGTGGATGGGCAATTCTGTCCATCCCTCCTTTCTGGGGTCCTCAAAAAGAGACTTGGGGGAAAAGCTAATAGACTGCAACACGGGCTAATTGAAAGATGAGAGAAGGGGAAGGAGCAAGCTTCATCAGCATGGATGACACCCCACCATCTCCTTTACCCTGACTTTGAAAGATGCCCTGACCAGACCAGGCCAGAGAGAGGAAGCCAAATGACATTGTCACCTTCATCAGCTCTGTCTGAATCCTGAACAGCACATGGTACGAGAGACTTTGTCTCTCCTTCCCTCTCTGACCCACATCCTTTTCCTTCCCCACTTATTTCTTCTCTTTCCTCTCTCTCTCCTTTTTTCCTTTTGTCTAATAAGAGCCTGTCTTAGCCAACATATTTTGCAACACCGCTGTAACCAGAAAGGTCAGCTAAAACAATGCCCTACACACCTCAATGCTGGTACAAGTTTGTCAGGTCTCCAAGTGGCTGATAAGACCATGAGCTGTATTTTGCCAGCAGTAAGACTGCAAGTGAAAAATCAACATCAGAGACAGAAGCTGCAATTTCTATCTTTGCTAAACAAGAGGGCTTTTCCTTCTAAAAACTCTCTCCAGCCAAAGGGAAAGGGAACAAGGGATGTTCAAATTGAAATCTTTTTTAATAATTTGCATTTTAAATGCTTTAATGATTTTTCTTTCTTTTTGCACCTTAATAAAAGGTAAAAAGGATTTTTTATGGTGCGTCTTCCATGGTATTAGGCAGGCTGTAGTTTCTGTATACCAAACCCAAAATCTTATTAAACATTAAAACTGTTTAATGTTGGCAAGTGAGTGGATTAACACCTTCGATTCTCTGGGCCCATATATACCATGTAAATTAACACACCTTCATCCTCCTGAGAGCTGAAGCCTGCTGTCCAGCTGCCTCATCCCTGGGTCCAGTACTGACTCCCCCCTTGCTTAAACACACATTCTCCCCTGACTCCACCCAAAGATGTGAGCCTTCAAGTTTTACAGTTTAACTCTCTCAAAAGGCACATGGACATTGTAAAGCACAGATACATGGACACTGACATTTAGTGCAGATTCTAGCACCACTCTCTTTTACTCAACAGATAAAGCCCAAGAGACTGTTCGTGTTCTGACTTCAGTCATGCTGAAATGCATTTATCACTGCACACTTCTATTGTATCAATTAGCTAAACACCAAGTCATTGCATCTGAAATTCAAAAACCAATGTCGCTCCTTGGAAGAAGTCCATTTAGTTTTACTCTCTCAAGGTAAGTTCCACTGAATATTCTAGGAGAACTCAACTAAATTAGAACAGAAAACTTAAAATTTAAAAACTAACTGATAGCAGCAGCCTACACAATCCTTACAGAATGAGAGAGTCAAGTTGTCAAATTCCACTTGCCACCTGAAATTATAACTATGATGTATTATTTATATTGTTCACGCATGGGCTAAGATACACAGCTCTATTCCATTTTCTTCAGAAAATATTTAAACAATGTATATAATTACAATTATCACAATCTAAGATTTTTTTTGAAAATTCAAATATAAATCCTGATAAATACCTTTCCCTGCGATATCAGAATTCCCCGTAAAGTATCAAACCCAATAGAGGGTCCCTGGCCCGTTTCATCAAGGCGTCCTTCGAGATCAAACATGGGAATGCAAGGACAAAATAGTTCAGAGATGTGATGCAGTAACAACAGTCTGTTTCTCAATGCAATTATTGGTATTTCCTGTAGATGGTTGTACTCCATAGGAACCTATGATAGAACAATCATATTGTTAAGATTGAACACATTTAGTTACTACATGTGCACAGAACAATTTACAGATTAATAATTTATTAAGTAAAGGAATACAAGAAGATCTTGGTTTTAGGACATTAAGATATTTGCTTATTTTGGACTGTCAGCACTATTATACGTGGCATTGGAATGTGGAAGTGGTAATTATTTTTATCACTTCAGATTTTAGAAGTCCTCCTATAGGGGACTCTTATCTGTACTTTTGATCCAGTCTATTGTACATGATGGGCAAGAGCAGCAAAGTGACATCAACATTATAGTGGTGGAAGAAAAAGTGAAGGAAAATATTCAAAAAGGGGTCTTTCAAACCCAAAGGGAGCAGTGAAAGATCCACTAAAACAAAGGGGGGAAAAGTCATCAAACTTTCATAGCATTAGTTGAAAGCTGCATTTGAATTTCTTTTGACTTTCATACTACATCAATGATGGTAGCTAAAAGACAAGTTATTTCTGCCTAGAATGGTGGAATCCCGCTATTTGAATTTGGGAAGAGGGACAGGAGCAACAGAGGGAGATCTTAACAAAAAAGCAATTAAAGCCTTGATCCAAAGCTAAAACCATGCATTTTCTTAGTTACATAGAAAGGAAAAACAGCAACTGCAAAGTTTTAATAAGTGCATTAACTAAATTTCAATATCCAACTTTACTAAAGCAAAATCTTACTTGGGTAGGAAGCTTGCCAGCATTAGCAGGTTTACTAGTCGACCAGGCTAAAGTATGTGCTGACCCACAGGCAACTCTGTTTATTTTTTTACCCTGAAGTGCTGCAACCAACCGGGGTCTTTGAATAGCATTAGTTGTCCCATCTCCAAGCTGCCCTTCATCATTATCTCCCCACGTGTACACTTCACCTAAACCAACACAAACATGTTTACTTTCCTCAGAGAGAAGAATGAAAATCAAATTTACTTCTTGTGAAACTCTCTGGGGCAGGACCATCTTTTTGTTCTCTGTACAGCAGCTGGCACAATAGAGTCCTGCTCCATGACTAGGGCTCCTAGCCGCTACAAACAAAAATTATTATTCATTATTTCCATGAAGGAAACACCCAGAATTGCTAATCAATCAGAACTGAGACCCCCCATTATGCTAGCTGCAGTACAAACATATATAAAGACATGTCCACTGCCCAGTTTACACACTCATTTAAGTATCTAAAACACAAGGAGGAAATTGGGAAGCAGGACGAGAATTACAGTGATAGAAAACACTACTTGCTGTCTATATTTGATGGTTCCATGGCAGACCAGACTGATGAAATTAAAGGAAAGCTTAGCCACCGTACATGCCTACTTTGTAAAATTTCACCGGCATTTTTGTAAACTTGCTAATTAAATGCAGAAACAAGTCTATTAGCAGGAATATTTAATAATTCAAACACACTAAAATGAACATAAGCTGCTCTGTAAGACACAATGACTGTTTGCTTCCATACTTCATTTACCAAGCTTAACATCTCAGCAAGTTGAAGAGACTTCCTAGATAACAGAAAAGCTTAGTGCACTCATTTAAAACTCAACAAATTTGTAATTACTGTTAAAGCTATACGTTTTTCTTTAGAGCAGGTCAAACGTTTTATGAAACTTAACTCTTATTTTTTTTACAGCTAAGTGACTGAAAACCTTGAAATTGTGTGCGTGCCCTTTTAGATCACCAACACAAACCAAGATTTGTTGCTTGGGAAGTATGCAAATATGTCAGTGCACAAAAGGAGGGCAGGTTGTGACCCATTAAAAATGTTAATCCATCAGATTTCAGACTTTTTAAAATGTTTCATTTTTCAAAATAAAGTTTATTAAGAACGACTAAAATATTTGTTCTCTATACCGTCTTCAGTGCAGCAAACACAGTGCAAAGAGCCAGTAGCTATTGCGATGACTTTCTTTCCTTGCAGCCCTTGTACTTGTCGAGGTCTTCTCACATGGTCATCAGATCCATGGCCTAATCGATGATAATCTCCTTTACCCCTGGATATAGATAACATAACTAGTACAAACATTTTTCCCCAACCACACACTTGTAAAAGGACTTTTTCAGATTTGTATAATTTAACTCCATAAAAATCATAATACTTTGTCTTCAAGTAAGACAGGACAACTTTAAAAGCTGACCTGGTTGTTAGTAGATTGGGGACCAAAGATCAGTTTGTACTCAGTCACCATTATACCAGAAACTAGTGTTTTAGGCTGAGATTTACAAATATAGGCCAAATGTGAATTCATCATCATGAATACTTCTTTCCATATAGACCAATAACCAAACTTATACTAAATATTTAGTGTACAACCTAGGACTCTGCCTCCAAATATGTCAAATGTGAGGCAGTGAGAGGGAAATCCTCATATCATCCTTTGTTCCTATTCTATTGATGTGGTTTTGCTGACACAACCACAGATGTTTATTCTTTTTTGTATACCATATATAAATATGTAATATACATACATTATTGATTATACATCACCACAACATACACAAACTGCCATATAACTCTGACCAACTCTCCTCCACTCTATCCACTAACACATTATTTCAGTGCTAACATTCCAACACTTTAGTGCATCTGACATATAAATATCTTGTGACGCCAGCTACAACAGTGCTATGCGAACACCTGTTCTCATTTTCAGGTGACATTGTACTTAAGAAGTGGGCAGCATTATCTCCCATAAATGTAAACAAACTTGTTTCTCTTAGCGATTTGCTGAACAAGAAGTAGGACTGAGTGGACTTGTAGGCACTAAAGTTTTACATTGTTTTTTTTTTAAATGCAGTTATGTTAAAAAAAATCTACCTATTTGTAAGTTGCACTTTCATGATAAAGAGACTGCACTATAGTACTTGTATGAGGCAAACTGAAAAATACTATTTAATCATTTTTACAGTGCAAATATTTGTAATAAAAATAATATAAAGTGAGCACTGTACACTTTGTATTCTGTGTGGTAACTGAAAGCAATATATTTGAAAATGTAGAAAAACATCCAAAGATATTTAATAAATTTCAATTTGTATTCTATTGTTTAACAGTGCGATTAATCGCAATTACCTTTTTTTTTTTTTAGTTAATCGCGTGAGTTAACTGTGATTAAATTGACAGCCCTAATATTTACTGCAAATTCAAAACACATACCAGGTATATACTGCTCCGGACTTGGTAAGAGCCACAGAGAATTGTGATCCACATTCCACTTTAACCACTCCAAGGCCTGTAAGGGAATCAATCTGGGAAAACAGGATTAAATGCAATAGATTGACTGAGACAAGGTGGGTGAGGTAATATCTTTAATGGACCAACTTCTGTTGGCAGAGGAGACAGGCTTTCAAGCTGCACGGGGCTCTTATTCAGGTGTGGAAAAAGAAATCAGTGTGTCACAGCTAAATACATAGCAGGACAGATTGATAGACTGATTGAACAGCCTTTATGCAGTTTGCAGTATTGTATGTGCACCTTTTAGTGAACTCAATGTATATGCTGTTCACAAGCCATATTTTGCAAAACTTTTCATTCCTTCCAGTTTTTAAGTTTTGTTTAAAAATTAGAGTTAAACCTTAAACTTTTTTTTTTAAAGCCAAGATCAGGGAAATGGGTAAAATTTTACATAGCATACTCTGCCTTCTCCTCTCCTCAGTCTAGGGGATAAGGATATTTAACATATGAATAACATCACTACCATCATATAGCAATATTATTCATGCTATCAGATATTTGTACCGTCTTCAACTCTTAATATTTTAAGACATTCCAAGTCAACTATACATTCATATGTAGCAAGTTACAATAAAATGGGATGTTGAGCTTAATCAATTTTTGTTCCATACATATTTTTGGTACCATATCTTTGAATTTATATATATGACTGTGGAGATGTCAGGAGATTCTACTCATTTGAGAGATTCTCTAAACTTAAAATTAGGAATACCACAGGAAGCAACAATATTGCTGAAAGAGAAAGAAAAACTACGTGCAACCCTTGTAACTCAGACATACAAGCACAAGGTTTATTACTAGTCAGTGTGCCTAATTGAGCTGCCTCCGTGGTAACCACCAGGAAAACCCTTTTCTCCAAAGACAAGGGGAATCTTCTACAAATTGGTAACTCGCTTTTCATTACTCTTCTCTAAAATGAGTGTGTTTAAACTGATGTAAAATATAAATACCTTCATTGGTACTTTACAGCCATCACTGCCCCCTCTCCCAAGTTTTCCATAATCTCCATCACCCCATGACCAGACAGTATCATCATCAGTCAGACACAATGTCTGTGCATCTCCACTACCACAGGCTACGTCGATCACACGATAGCCCTGCAATGCTTCCACCTGAAAGACAGTCACCATTTTTTGTTTACAATAAGAGGTCTCAACTTTTTAATTTCAAACAGTAAGTCAAATAAAAACAGTCAACTTGCAGGGACTCTCTATTGAGAATTGAGGGTGTAACAACAGCTCAGGACCACATCAATGAATGAAGTCATGGATAGTCAAGGAAAGTTTAGTATTTTCAACCCAACAAAAAGATGACTAACAAACGTATCATATGTAAAAAGCAACAGAGTCCTGTGGCACCTTTAAGACTAACAGATGTATCTTTAATGGACCAACAGACGAAGTGGGCATTCACCCACGAAAGCTTATGCTCCAATACATCTGTTAGTCTTAAAGGTGCCACAGGACACACTGTTGCTTTTTACACATCCAGACTAACACGGCTACCCCTCTGATACTCAATGTACCATATATATTTTAAATACTTGGGTTATTCCTTTTATTTTGGTCAAGTAAATTCTCACTACAGTTAACAAAAAATCAGAAAAAAATGCTGCTGAAATATTTAAGGTAACCAAGGAATAGGTTTTATGAACTTCAATTTCTGGTTTCTGACTTTTATTGTGTATTACGTAAACCGAATAAAAATGCATGTATGCAAATAGCTATTTGCTGGTTTAGAATATTCAAGCATCCAAACAAGAGTATGAAACTAGTCAACATTATATCTTCTGAAATGCTAACCTTCACACTGTAACTGTCGAGTACAGATGATAAAATGAATTGCCAGTTCAAGTGCCAAGTAATTCTGTAGGAGAACTAACAATCTAAATTTAAGTTATTAAAGGCTAGTTACCATGAGATTGTGAAGTCTGAATTATCGCTAGCCAGCTAATCAGGATATTTAACTTTCCTGGACTTATTTTTTTATTCCAAATTGCAAATAATGTCCTTTATATATTTTTAAAATAACCTCTTCAGAAAGGATCAAATCACACATATCTACATCTATCGTAACTATTTACTTTAGAAACTCCTCTACCAAAACTATAAGCGTTAACAATACTGGTTAACAAAAACATTTTTCTCTTAACAGTATTTCAGTATTGGATTCCCAGAATTAAGTACACAATTATACAACAAAAATCAGTTGCAATTGTTCTTATTGCTTATCACTGCATCGACGGACATTCTTTTCAAGCTGGAAGAGGGGAGCAAAGGGAAGAAAAGGGAGTAGCGTGCATAAGACAGAGGGGAATGCCTGCTCAATAGGGAAGCACTGGTAGGACTTACAGCAGAAGAGCTACTGGTGAGGAAGTGACATTTTATTTACTGGAGTAGGGACAGAACCTATTTGGACGGGTGAATTTTGTTTAGACAATCAGAAATTATTTCCGTTTCTCGTATGGGAGGTCAATTTTTTTTAAGCAGTGTGTGTGGATGAGTTCCAACGGCCAGCTCCAGCCCTTATTATGAGCATCAGCTGCTGCTGCATGCTTAGCATTTATTTGTTCCTCTGCTGCAATGCAGTTCCTTTACCAGTGCTTGCTGGCAAAGTTTGTAGTTGCATTTTATTTAACCCGTTCCTATCTCTTAAAACAAAATGGTTAATTCATTCTCATTTTCTCTAAACATTTCTACCTTTATTCTTTATATGCAAAAATTTAAAAAAGCAAAATATTTACAATGGACATTCAAACTGCAGGTGATTAATTCCAACAATATCTTCTCACCAGTTTGGGTTTTAGCTGATCCTCACTATCTCCATGCCCAAGGCGTCCATATCTCCCTTTTCCCCATGTATAAAGATCCCCTGCTGCAGAAATACATGCACTGTGTGCTCCACCAGCAGCGATGTCAACTACTTCTATCCCTCGCAAAGACTCAATTACACGAGGACGATCACAAGGACTGAAACGGAATAGTTTAAACAGACAAAAAAAAATGAATAAAATGCTCCGATTAAGTAATATACATAACTAGCAACTCTCTCAGGAATCCTTTTGCTCATTTTGAACTATTACTTGTTTCTGGCCATTTTCCTAAAGAAAATAAGTATGAAAAACATCATTCAGAATAATCCTATTCTTACAGGTTCACACAGGCTAGAAGTATTTACCAACATATTTTATCAATGAGTTTCCATGTGCATAATTAAGGCTAAGATTTTGTCACGGATATTTTTAATAAAAGTCATGGACAGGTCATGGGCAATAATGAAAAATTCACAGAAGTCCCTGACCTGTCCCTGACTTTTACTAAAAATATCCATGACAAAATGGGGAACCTGAGCAGCTGTGGGTGGCCTGGGAGGTCCAGAGACCCCCACCACCTGTGGGGGTATGGAGCTGCAGGGTCCCCCTCTGCTGGCAGCTTGGCGCTCCGGTGGTCCCCATTTCCCCCAGGGAGGCGGAGAGCAGCAGGGGTCCTCTGCCACCCACGGAGGCAGAGAGCCGCATGGAGCGGGTCTCGCGTCGTCCCTCCATTCCTCCGTAGGCTGCAGGGGCCCTGCGGCTCCCAACCTGCACTGGCTGAAGTCATGGAAGTCTTTGGAAGTCACAGATTCCGTGACTTCCGTGACCTCTGTGACTAAATCGCAGCCTTATGCATAATTGTGGATCATAAGCATAGAGTCACTTACTGTGCAAGCATACGGTTAACATTTTCATTTAGATTCTGAAGTATCACTTAAATACCTCAAAACTGTTCAGACTCCTTTGTCATTTCAGCTAATCTGTCCTACTACAACTTCCCAGATAAAACCAATACAGTAGTAATGGCTTAATTAAAACAAAGGAGTCAAAACATTTATCTCCAAAAATGAATCAATGTTAATTAAAAATACAATTTAACATATTGTGATGAAATTGCTAGTGTAAAATGTACTACTATCCTCTACCAGATGGAATCAGAACTGCCATACTCTGTCAAAATCCCTGTGCCTCTACCAGAGAATGGAGTTTCTCGTTCAGCTCAAGCAGTATGGGGCTTGTGCCTTTGGAGCAGGAGAATCTTAGTTTTAATCCCTGTAGTGCCATAAAATTCCAAATATTCAGAATGTGCAACCCATTGAGGCAGCCATAGATTTGTTACAATACAATATATAGCCAATAACAAAAATAAAAAATTGACTACTTTTTTTCCCTAAAAATATTTTATTAAAATATTATACTGGCTTCTCTAGTTTCAAAAAAAGCCAATCCTTGAGTAGGTATGGAAAGCTAGGACTTTGATCTACCTATAGATTAGGCAATATTTGTCCAATGCTTCAACTATATAAATCCCATTAATACATATGCATCAACATCTCAACATAAAAGGTTTTCAAAACGTTACCTTCTGTTTCCGTGACCCAGTTTACCATCTTCTGCCTCACCCCAAGAATAAACTTCTCCTTCTGAAGATAGTGCCAAACAGTGCTTTCCTCCTGAGTTCACAGCAACTTTCTTTATGAACACATGCTGAATGGATTCCAGTAATGTTGGTGTGGAAACTGACTCAGTTCCTCCAATTCCAAGCCTGCCACCTGCACCATATCCAGTGGCATAAAGCTTCAATGAATAAACAAAGTGTATTTTAATCGTTAACTTCCTGAATAGGAACATTCATTTAAACTACATGATACATTCAGTGCAATTAACTGGATTCTAGTATTCATTGCTTCCTTAGTGACACAAAGGACAGAAACATTCTTTGCACATCTGAATTTTCTTTCCTGTAAAGTACAGAATATATACACTTAGAGTAACTGTATATATCAAAACTCAAATGGGTTTGTCTTTAACTTGACATCAGAAAGCTACATTAGTACATAAGCTAAACTTCTCTTATGGGGAGAAGAGGGAACTTCCAAGTGACTTAGTTTTGAGCAGCTGTTTTTCCCCATGAACCATTTTGAAATGAGAACGGGAGTACTTGTGGCACCTTAAAGACTAACAAATTTATTTGAGCATAAGCTTTTGTGGGCTACAGCCCACTTCTTTGGCTGCATCTTTGTTCGTCTTTAAGGTGCCACAAGTACTCCTGTTCTTTTTGCGGATACACAGACTAACACGGCTGCTACTCTGAAACCTGTCATTTTGAAATGATGTTTTAGCGCAAACTCTGTAGGCTTGCTAAACAGAACTGACATACAGGCTTTTATGGTCCAAAGAGGTTTAATAATATCTATGTATGCCCCCGACATTTTAAGAGTCAGTTACATGCATTTACATGATAGAAAGTAATTGTCTAAATTACCTTCAAACATTTAGTTTACACAAACTAGGTTTAAGTAAAAATAATTAAGACATTCTCACAACTAAATTTTCCCTTTCTGTCTATATTTCACGAATTTGATTGGCATAGTGTGATACTGAATGTCTATGGGAAACTATCATACAGCAAATTGTTAAGCCCGCAATTTCAACTTTAACTTTCAATTTCCTTGTTTTTGATTACATCACACAAATTAGATAGAAGGCTTAAATTTCTTTCCCTCATTAAGTCAAACTCTTGAGCAACAATTCTACACATGTGAAGCACATCAGCATTCCCATCAATAAGAGTAGACATTCAAAATAATGCTAATTGTTTGTTCAGAAGCAGATATCTGTGTTAAAATCAGCATAGTTTTCTAAGCTTAGAGCTGGTATCATCATCTTCTGTACAGTGCAAAACTTTTCTTCGGTACAGTAGAGAATTTTATTATACTAGATCCTTGTTCACCCTGTCAGTACTGGCAGTTGTGTGTGGGTTTGTTTTGGGTTTTTTTAAATACAAGTTTTGCAAAATTTACACTGAGTCAACCAATCCCACTCACACTGGCAGGCTGACATTTGCCAGGGAAGTCTAACTTGAACAATTATTTATTGTAACCCTTACCTTCCCATCAGCAGTCACGGCAAACAGAGTCTGTTCACCACCAATTAACTGCACAGGTCTAAGTGTGGCAAGGGCTTCACATGGAGTTGGAACTTTCACCTTTGCCCCTTCAATACCTCCAAGCTGTCCTCTATGATTATGACCCCAACCATAAATAGTGCCACTACCTCCAGCTGAAAGGGTCCAGTCATCTGGTCTCCTGCAGATAATTCAAAGGAACACAAAGGAAAAGTGTAGAAGATTGAAAATGGAAGCTTTGATATGCTAAGCTTTTCATTCTAACACTCAAATTTGAAATGTCACAAGACCAAAACATTATGGCAGATTAACATAATAACCTGTTCATCCATTGCACAAGCTGTTCATCTTGCTCTCTCTTAAAGGCATCATGGCTCTCATGGAGAACATCCATATTCTCATTATCTGCCATTAATTCTCGGATTTTCTTTGCCACCTGCAATGTTATACTGGATTAGAAACCATTACTTAAAATAATAGTTACTCTTACTTAACACTTGGCATAAGGGTGTTTAAATCTCACCTATTTTCTTCCTCAGATTTAAGTATATTGTTAATACAGAGCTTCATAATTAATTTCTTTTAACACACCCACATGTTCTGTTACCCTATATGAAAATATTTCTGCAGTACCTCATCAAGGAAAAGGCGAGGCAATGAAGTTCTCTTATCAAGAGCAACAGCAACCCTGGAGGCCATACAGTATCTTCTGAACCAAGCCCATTTGTGTGTCTCTGCACAGCAAGGAAGAGTGTCCAATTCTAGATCACAAGCAAGAGCTACAAGCACCTGCAAAAATAAATAAATAGAAACAATTCTGGAGCTATATTGCATTTTGGGTGCAGTAGAGGTGTGATTTAGTTCAGTGACACTAAGCTCCAGTTGGAAATAGGCATGCACTCAGTGGATCCTTCACTGGATGTTCTTGATGTAGGATGTGGCAGTTTTCTGGAAGTGTCATTTTACTTTGTTTACCATACATGCTTGCTAATATAAAATTCCAACAGAACCATGCTACTTAATTATCCAATATTAGTATCTTGTTACCTTAAAGAAAGGGCTGTGAAGCAACTGCTTGCCACCTCTCACAATAGGATCTTCATAGTCAAACTGCCGCTGCAAAGCTTCTGGAAGGCCTTTAACCAAAGCAGCTAAAGCACTGCCTGTGAAACTCTGGGGAAAAAAAAAACCAACAACAAAAGGCAAAGTTAATCCATACACTCAATATACAACGGTAGAAAGGGGAAATTCTTAGGGTAGTTGTGATGGAAAATTAATTGCAATTTGATAACCAATGTGGAACATGAGCTCTGTCCAGCCCCTAATAGGCATCTGTCCATATCACAAACACCACCCTTACTGGCAATTCCAGATGCAAAGAAGTAGATGATACAAAGTATGAACTAGTCTTTTGTTCTTAAATGAAGACCCTCCAGAATAAATTTGAAGCTAACTGGCAAGCTGGTGTGGGGAAGGGTGCCCACCTGTATTTTCCCTGCCTGTAGCTAACCACAGATTTCAGTTATCACAGCTGCATCTGGCACCTTTCATGAGTATTACATTAATTTGAACATTTAACATGTAACAAAGATTTTACTACTGATAATTTGAGCTTCTTACCATAGTTCGTGTTTCTCCATCATTATCCCCTAGAATCCTGTTTATGTTGATAGATTGGCCAAACTCTGTTGTTAGCAGCTTTCGTAGTCTCTGCAAGGCCCACATTCTGTGTCCAGCAGCTAAAATGGCAAAAAGAAAACTTAAATTGCTTATAATATCATTTTTACATCTAATCAATAGACTTCATTTTAAATTTGCACCTACCTAGGGCACTTAATTGAGCACACGCTGCAAGTGACGCGGCCAGGCGAGGAACTATACTCCTATTGGAAGCAAAATTCAAGCGGAAATCCAGCAAACATGTTACCAAATCCATTGATGGACAAGAAAGAATGCAGCGATCTGAAAGGAGGTCTTTAGGGCCTGTGGAAAAAAAAGTTAGCTTTTTTAGTCACTTAGTTATCATGAGAATCTTAGTAAGTGGCCTGAGATCTAACACCTTCAGCACTCATTATAAAACAAGTACAGTAACTCCTCGCTTAACGTTGTAGTTATGTTCCTGAAAAATGCTACTTTAAGCGAAATGATGTTAAGCGAATCCAATTTCCCCATAAGAATTAATGTAAATGGGGGGGAAGGGTTAGAGTCCCAGGGGAAAAAAAAATCGCCAGACAAAAGACATTTACACACACACAAAGTTTAATACTATTTAATACTGTACACAGCAATGATGATTTTGCATCTTGGTTGAGGTGGTGGAGTCAGAGGGTGGAAGAGGTTGCAATATTTTCCAGGGAATGTCTTGCTGCTAAATGATGAACTAACGCTCGGTTGAGCCCTCAAGGGTTAACACATTGTTGTTAATGTAGCCTCACACTCTACAAGGCAGCACAAACGAAGGGAGGAGACACAATAGACGCATGGCAATGGCTGCAAACATTCCCTGCGGAAACTGAATGTGATGATGAACCCACGCTATCCCACTGGAGCACACCACTCTCTCCACTTTCCAAAGTGCAGACACACAGTGTGTGTGTGAGACATGCACATTGCCCCTTTAAGTATGCTCACCCCACTCTAAGTACATTGCCTTTTTAAGTAGATCAGCAAGTTGAGACAGCAGCTGCTACCAGCAAGCTCCCTCCATCCTGAGCCCTGTTTTGTTCCCCAGCCCCCGCTCTGTGGAGATGGGGTAAAGGAGCAGGGGGAGGGGGTCACCCTGACATCAGCACCCCTCTTCCCCCCAATCCCCTACACAGCAAGCAGGAGACTCCCGGGAGCAGCTCCAAGACAGAGGGCAGGAGCAGCACATGGCAGTGGGGGGAGGGACAGGGAACTTAGGGGAGCTGATGGGGGGCTGCTGGTCCACCCTGGTTCCAAGCCCCCACCAGCTAGCTCCAATGGGCTGCTCTTCCTGCAAGCAGTGGACAAAGCTGGTGGCTGCCAAACAACGTTATAAGGGAGCACTGCACAACTTTTAACGAGCATGTTCTCTAATAGATTAGCGACGTAACAACGAAACAACGTTAACCGGGACGACGTTAAGTGATGAGTTACTGTAGTTCTAATCCAGATACTCATCTTTCCAAGAAGAGTATGCCAAAACTGTATCCTCACTTATTTATGTATCTTGTTACTTTACTGATGTATTCTCTTTTCTAAATAAACATGTATAAGTGGACAAGGCAACCTTTGCTTATGAATACCTGAATCACTCCTCCACCATATATTATAACTTACCTGCAGCTGGCATGATAGGATAAACAGTGAATCGCCATCCCCATCCATTCACAGAGCCATCACTGATGAACTTCCACTTTAATTCATCTCCTGGAATTCGCAATTCACTAGACCAATCGGACCACTCACGACCTGTTACGGTGGGATAGTACAGACATACATTTTCATCCATACTTACTAATAATTATATCAGTCATCCATAAAATATCATATAGCTACTAGATGCTAGTTGCTGTAAGCACTGAATGAATGTTTCCTGGGGGGGGAGAAGATCTGTAAATGAAGCACATAAATGTGCATATAAAAATAGCTAAAATCCAAGACAAGAAGCAATTTCCTGACAACACAATTTTGTTCCTGCTTGAAAAGCTCAACTTAAATTGTCATCTAAGAGATGCCTTCAGTTGTTTTAATACCAAAGTCAGTTACACTTCTGAAAGTCCACTTTCCCATGGAAAAAATAAAATGTTGGCAACAAGCAATCCATAACAATATACAAAATGAATTCACTATTTAGAATCTTTTCCCACTTTCTCAGTTCAGGGCAATTGCACCTGTATTTCCCACCAATGGTCCAGCAACAGCACCCATTTTCAGGCTTCCAGCTCCCCAGCGGTTGTCTTTCTGGATGGAGACCTGCATCTCATTCCCTTCTAATCAGTTATTTCCAAGATGCATACTTCCCTGGGTTATTCCCAGCAGAGAGAGGTTGATCAAAGCACATCTACTTGTTCTCTCTGCAGAAACTGATAATAGTTATAAAGTACCAAACAGTTCTTTTTACGTAAGCCTATTTCATTCCTAAGATAAAAGTCCTACAGAGAAAACATTTAAAACAATAAGAGAACTTACACACATGCTAATAAGCTTACCAGATATCACCCCACTTCTAACATGAAGGACTGCTCCTGCCAGAGCCCAACACCCCACCCAAGGGGTTCTCTTTGTGGTGACAAGATCATCACAGCTTTAGCTCAGAACGAGCACATTCATAAACATGTTTAGTCCACCCTTTATACAGTTCAGGGGACTCTGACCTGGAGTTTCCAGAAGCACGTAATTAGTACATAAAGGATCTCTCCTCCCAGTGCAAGGCTTCAAAAGGTTGGCTTCAGAGGAGAGAATTTGCTTTTCCCTCACCCCCACGTACTTCCTAGGAAACCTACTGCAAATGTATTGTCCCAAAAAGCCCTTTGATGTTCCTAATACCTTCCAGAGATTGCATGAAATCTTGTCTTCCTGCTAAAGAAGTTCCACATAATCTCACAATAGTACAAAAACATTTACATTTTTAATACAAAGATAAAAATTCCAAAGATATTTACCTTCATTCAATAAAATTGAACTCAACTGAATGAGATTTGTCCACAATATTGCATATCTGTCCCAACCACCATTAAGCAACTTAAATACAGTACTAAAACAATAATTATAAACTTGTGTGCCCAAATTGATATGAGATCCAATGTGAAGGCATGCCTTCTTGCTCCCTACATCTACTTTCAGACACCAGTAGACACATATCTCAATTTGAATAACCTTGGTTCAGGGAGATGGTGGACACCAGAAAGCCCATGCCACTACACAGATTCAAAGTGCTCCATAAAATGGACTTCTGCTCTTGGAGGAAGGGTCAACAGAAATGGTAGCCATCATGATCCATAGCTTGCCCACACTTTAAATGGCACACTTGATGAGAGTGAGAAAGGAAAATACCACATGGGTGAGTAAATGAAAGAAAACTGACAGATACTGGATATATGATTTGATCCAGGGAAGGGGGGAGGAGAAATGAAAGAAAGAGGAGAGGAAGAAAGTGCAAGTGATAGAATTTAAAAACTCTCCAGTCTGTGCCCAGATTTTATTTAGAGCACTTGAGAGCAGAAAGATTTGCCTTTAATGTAGTAAAACCCATATTTCCAGAATTTTAAAATTCTTACAAAGAAAAAAAAAACTAGCATTCCTGTTATAAAATACCGTTTCACACTATGTTCAGATTCATTAAAAATAAATACCTTGTTTATACAGAAAATTGTACACCACACATACTAGGAACCATTTGGGGATGTAACAGTAAAATCAGCATTTACATCTGATCTTAAGGCACAGGCAGGAAAACTTATTTTACAAATCACAACAGAATGACCAAGCGACAAATTAAAAAGTAAAGCAAATGAAACAATATGTTTCAATCCTGCCCCAGAACAATTACCACATGCTGCCAGCTTATACTGGTCTTTATACATAGAGGTTAGAATGTTAAAACAGATTTTAAATGTGGAGTCTATCAAAAATAATTTAGGCTGCAGATTAAGGTTGAAATTCTTCTGTGAAATACACTACTTTATTTGCACTTTAGAAATTACTCTGCATATACGCACAAATATTAAGTTGTTTGTGTTAAATAATTAATTACCAGAATCTACATGTGTTTCAATTTTGGTTATGCATGCTTCAGAAATAATCTAATGTATTGAGACAACTGCCTAAATTTTTTAAATGTTATTAAAAAAACATTGTAAATCAATACTAGATATGTATTTTTCTAGCCTTTTCTCCACCTAAAATAAACCTATTGCGATACAATAAGAGTATATTTCATCCAACATTCAACAGTAAGATAAACTAAGCACTTAAGAAAAATAAAGTAAATAGAACATTTGATTCTCATTACCTGATCGGACTGAAACTATCCTGTTGACTCCATCCATTATGGTGAGAGGGTCATGGCGCCGCTCTGTAGAACACTGGCGATCAAATTCTACTCTGAGTCCCTCGGCACCTAACAAGTAACAAAGTACTTTATATAATTAAACAATAAGTAAAATGGGGAAAATGTAAGCTTTAAAAGTCCAGTGAATTAAAACACTGTTTGAACTGTTCTATGCTGATCAAGCGAGAACATAGCTATTTTCTATTAAGATAATTATTTGCCTGTAATTAATGTTCCTTGAAAGTATTACATAGTATAGATACACACCACCCATGAATTTGGGCCAACTATATATGACAATGTTCAGAACACTCCAAACCTTACGTGATCTGTTAAAGCATGTCAGAGCAAAGCATACCTGCAAGCTGAGGCAAAATGGCTAACAGCATCAGAAGTCTAACTTTTGGACAGTATTAAATCAATTCAAAATGAAACCACAATGCACAGAGAAAAATTATAGTCTAATAGTTAAGGCCAAGGACAAAGAAAATAATTTATTTCTGGCCCTGATAATGATTTACTATGTGATTACGGCCAAGCTGTTCCCAATGTCCTAATGAAACAAAAATTAGATGTAATCTTCAGCAGCAGAGCAGCTGTGTACCAAATCCAGTACTGCCCAGAGAACCTGAATTCCTGAAGAGTACATTTAACAGGTTCAAGAAAGGTTATTATCAAGCATACAAATTTTTATTATGATAACAGGTATGTTAAAACTACCCAATTTACTCGAACATTTTAGTGAAGATTCAAAATGGATTATTGTAAACTGAATCTAAGTGTCTGTTCCTGCAAATCTGCATAATATAAGTAACTGAATGGATAATTTCTCATCTCATATAAATCTTATCAGTATTCCGTACCTGGTATTTTAACAGTGCCACTGGTTGAAGTATCATCTGTATATGGATGGCTACTTTCCACCACCACTGGCTGTGAAGAAAGACGACCACTTTGCGAGTCGGTAGCCACATCTTCTAACTCTGTAACACACAGCTCCAACAACATGTCAGCAACCTAAAAAAATACATCTCAACTGATTATACACATCTTCATAAAGAAAACAATTCAGTCTTCTAGAAAAAACTGATAACGAGAGTAAGCCCTGATCCCCATCCTTCTTGGTGTCTTGTCCATTACATTCCAATATTCCAACAGAAAAGGTAGAAATAATGAAATAAGCCTCTATTTCAGTTATAAGAGCAATGCAACAAGAAGCAAATATCACATTAAACCCAAAATAGGCAAGAAAAATAAGTTTTAAATGCCCATTCAACAAACAAATGAAAACATCAAAGGTAAGTGTTAAGATAACGGAATGCTAAAATATGCTAATACCCGTGGTCCTCAACCGGGGGTCCATGAGCCCTTTCAAAGGGGCTACGGGGCCCCATGGCTGAAACCCAAAGCCTGATCCTTGACAGTCCCTGCAGGGCTGAAGCCAGGAGGCACGGGACTGAAGCGCCGATCTCCGGCACCCCACACAGGGCTAAAGCTCCGATCCCCAGCGCTCCCCTCGGAGCTGAAGCCAGGAGCAGCGGGGTGAATCTTGGAGCCCCGAGCCCTGGTGCTCCCCGTGTGGCAAAAGCTCTGAGCCCATGGGCAGAGTTGGGGGGTATGGAGGGCGCTGACCCCCTACCCCAAACTGCAGCAGAAGAGCAGGGCAGTCGCGGGGGCAGCTCCCTCCTTGCCCCCCATCTCCTTCTCTCCCCGCCCCCAGCCAGGTTGGAGGTGGGAAGCCAGAATAAGACCGAGCGGGACAGCTGCTGCTCTGGCTGGTGACATGGAGCAGGCAGCTGCAGCATTCCCTCATCTCCTGCTGGTGCCCGGGGTTGAAGCTGCCCCCTCGGCTCCCAGCCCCCTTTGCTCCCACAGAGGCAGACAGTAAGAGCCACCCGGGTGGGAGAACCCAGCTCCATGGCTGGCAGAGCCCTCCGGGAACCAGGACCACAGGGGAGCCCTCCCAGC